ACCCCCATTTCCTACCCACTAACCTCATCCCGCCCCCTTGACCTGTCCGTCCTCCCTGGACTGAACTATCCCCTCCCTACCTCCCCACCTACACTCACCTTTACTGGCTCCATCCCCACCTCTTTGACCTGTCTGTCTCCTCTCCACCTATCTTCTCCTCTATCCATCTTCTATCCGCCTCCCCCTCTCTCCCTATTTATTTCCGAACTCCCTTCCCCTCCCCCATTTCTGAAGAAGGGTCTAGGCCCGAAACATCAGCCTTCCTGCTCCTGTGATGCTGCTTGGCCTGCTGTGTTCATCCAGCTCCTCACCTTGTTATCTCAGATTGTCCAGCATCTGCAGTTCCTACTATCTCTGAGCCAATTCCAAAAATGAGCTTTCTATTACTGCCAGCAAAAACAACCAATAAACAAAACAAACAGAGGCTGCAGTTCATCCCCATGACGGGAATCAAATGCTGGCATCATGACTGAAAAACATTCCAACATAACTTGCACTCAGCTGTCATCAACTGGAACTGGATGTCAGAGATAGTCGGAACTTGGCCTGCTGCGTTCATCCAGCTCTGCATCTTGTTGTCTCCGGAACTGGATGTCAGTCAGCTCCTGTCTGGTTTGTAGTGCCCAACACTCTATCACACACAAGGGGAGCTTGGCAGCTCAGTGTGTGCCAGGCAGCAAGGTGTCCCAACCTCTCACCTCCCCAACCAAGACATCCGAAACTGACAAGCAGCCTGCCTGTGTGTCTACAATGAGCAGCCCGTTCGAACAGAAGTGATGACAGCCTTTGGCACTGGCTGAAGCTCCAACATGCTAACAGGCATGTCTTAGCATGGGGTAACATTCACTCAGGCGCAAAAAGAGTACAAACAAGGTGTTCCCTGAGTTGCAGCCTGGTCCATTCTGTGGGCTGGGTCCCTCTCCATGTCTATATGGTTTTAAGCAAGACGTTCGACAAGGTTCCGCATGGTTAGCAAGATTAGATCATGTGGAATACAGGGAGAGCTATCTAATTGGATACAAAATTAGCTTGAAGATAGGAGACAGAGGTGGCTGGTTGTCTGTTGGACTGTAGGCCTGTGACCAGCAGTGTGCCACAAGGCTCGGTGCTGGGTCCAGTGCTTTTTGTGATTTATACAAATGATTTGGATGTTAATATAAGAGAATGAATAGTAAGTTTGCAGTTAACTCCAAAATAGGTGGTGTAGTGGACAGTGAAGAAAGTTATCTCCAAGTATGACGGGACCTTGATCAGATGGGCCAACGGGTGAGGAGTCACGGACGGAATTTATTTTAGATAAACGTGAGGTGTTTCATTTTGTTAAGGCAAATCAGGGCAGGACTTGTACACTTAATGGTAGGGCGCTGGGACTGTTGCCGAGCAGAGACCTAGGGGTGCAGGTACATAGTTCTTTGAAAGTGAAGTCGCAGGTAGACAGGGTGTTGAAGAAGGCATTTGGAACACTTGCCTTCATTGGTCAGTGCATTGAGTACAGGAGTTGGGAGATCATGTTGCGGTTGTACAGGAGGTGGGGTCACTTTTAGAATACTGCGTTCAGTTCTGGTCTCCCTGCTTTAGGAAAGATGTTGTGAAACTTGAAAGGGTTCAGAAAAGAGTTACAAGGACGTTGCTGGGATTGGAGGGTTTCAGCTATAGAGAGAGGTAGTAGAGGCTGGGGGTTTCTTCCCTGAAACATCAGAGGCTGAGGGGTGACCTTTTAGAGTTTTATAAAATCATGAAGGGCATGGGGTAGGGTGAATAGCCGAGGTCTTTTTCCCAGCAGAGGGTGTTGGTTTAGCTTAGTTGGCTAAACAGTTAGTTTGTGAAGCAGAGTGATGCCAACTGCATGGGCTCAATTCCAATCACAGGCTGAGGTTACAATGAAGGACTCTCCTTCTCAACCTCTTCCCTCACCTGAGGTGTAGTGGCCTTCAGGTTAAATCATCACCAGTCATCTCTCTTTAATGAGAGAGCAGATGATCTGGTAAGACTATGGTAACTCACACCCCAAATCCCTCTGAGTTACATCTTTTTGCGGTCTTTCCCCATTTAAAAAAATACTCTGTTCTTTTGTTCTCCCTTCCAAAATAAACAACTTCATATTTTCCCATATTATACTGCAGTTTTCCTGATGTTGATGCTGTTGGGCCAAGTTTGGTAAGATAGTAAACTGAATATTAATGAGGGGAGTTGTGGAGTTAACAAGATGTTGAATAAATGTTAATCCCTGTCAATTGGCATCTCATTACTGCCCAGCCAAAATCTACACATGCAGCTTGTAAAAAGCTTGTAAAAGATGGAATGAGATGCTCTTGATGTCCCATAAGATTCTGCTCATAGCTTCCGTCATTGATACTGTGCCAGCTGTCTGACACTTGTATCAGGTTGTAAAAGCAGCAGTTTTTACAAATTATAGAATCCCTACCGTGTGAAAGGAGGTCATTCGGCATATCCAGTCTATAACAGCCCTCCAAAGAGCATCCCACCCAGAACCAGCCCTCCCCACACTATCCCCGTAACCCTGAATTTCCCATGGCCAATCCACCTAACCTGCACATCTTTGGACTATGGGAGGAAACTAGAGCACCAGGAAGAACTCATGCTGACATGAGGAGAATGTACAAACTCTACACAGACAGTCACCCAAGGCTGGAAGCGAACCCAGGTCCCTGGCACTAGCAGTGCTTACCACTGTGCCACCATATCACTCCAGAATGCATATGTCTTTAAGATTTGCCTTTGTTACTAGATGGCTTGTTGATCCAACAGGGAGGATGTGGGGGTGTGGGTGCGGTGTAAGACCTGGCCGCGTTGGGGGGCTGTGCATGCAAAGGATGTGAAGGCATTGGAGATGCCATACCATGGTGATTAGGTGTGGGAGTGGTTGGAGGGGTGCGAGGGCAAGAAGGCCTGGAATGCAGGCCCAGAGAACTGAAGCAGACCATCAAGCCAGCTCAGCACAGCAGTCACCCGTCCCTATTGCCAGGTTCCACTGTCTCTGGGGTTAAGAGGCCATACGTGATCCTAGCTCGCCCCTTCCCAGCGTGAAGATAACGCACAGGGAGAGCACTTACGTGGAAACAGATCAAGGGTAACTTGTCAATTCAAGCTTTCTGCCACATTAGTGAAAATCTGAGCCACGATGTATCTTAGAGCCAAGGTTCTCAGTGTATCTCAAGCTGAGGACCATTGACTAAAACCAATTTAGTGACACCCTTTACCACCCAACATTTCCAGCATAGCTTTAATTGGGCCTAAGCCATCATCAACACTGGCTTTCAACTAAATGTGTTTTCACTGCTTTCACTGGATTTTCAATGCATTGAGAGCTGGAATATGATACTCAACTCAACATTTTTAATGATATAATGACTTTATAGCTATGTAGCAAATCAAGGAAGTAGAAGCATAAAGTTAGTCAGAACAGGTTCACTGAAATACAGACTGAACAGAGAAAGCACAACAACATTGATACTGAAGTGTGAATAATTTGGACAAAGAAAATGCAATGTTGACAACAGAACAGTGAATGGCTGTAAGATTGTAGTTATATAGATTTCACTGTGGTTTGTTCAACACACCTCTCAAAATAGTGTTATCTGTGGCTCAGTGGGTGGCAATATGCGTCAGACAGTCACCAGTTCAAGACCCACACCTGAGACAAGCATAGAAACCGGATACTCTGATGTATTACTGAGATCACTAAGGGAGTACTACACTGTGCCACTTGCTGCCCTTTGGATGAACTTCAGTTGAGGTGGCTCTGGGTCCTTGAGGTTCGAGTGAAGGTCCTCATCACTATTTCAAACCAGAGCTAGGCTGTGTCTAAGCCAAAGTGTTATTCCTCAACCTAAACAGCAGATTATCTCCTTCCTTTTGTAGGAGTTTGCTGTGTGCAAATTGCCTATTTTGTTTCTGACATTGCACTATCGATTAAGTTTCAAATGTATGTAATGGGCTCTAAATTATTTTGGGACATCTGGTAGGTTTGAAACACAATGGATTTTTACCTCTTGTATCTGAGAATTGTACAGTTTGTAGATATTTTAGTTTTATTTCACACTTACCTTATCACCCACCAACCATCAAGCAACTTATGAATTACATCAACCAGCTCGTCTTCACACAGAGTCATCTCATCCTCCTGAACAGCAGTGTAGCTGTTAATGACTTTATATGGCTCACCTACAATATAACACAGGAAGTTTAATCTTCTTCAAAGTACGCTGGTGGATATATCATTTTCTTGAGAATGGTTGGAAATAAACCATAAACCACATCAAAAGCAACTGAATTTCACCCTTTATTGCGCCCTGTTCAACAATGTATATTAATACAACTCGCTTAATGTAGAAAAATGCCACAAGGAACTTTACAGGAGCATAATCGTAGTTTGAAACCAAACCACACGAGCAATTATTGGTTGCCATGTATCTGCAACCCTTGTCCTTCAGATGGAAGTGGTTGTAAGTTTGGAAGGTACTAACTAAGGAGCCTCAGTGAATTTCTGCAGTGTGTCTTGTAGATAATACACACTGCTGCAATGTCAATGGTGGAGGGACTGAATGTTTGTGGTTGTGGTGCTATCAAGTGAGCTATTTTGTTATCTGCTGCCCTTGTCCTTCCAGATGGATGTGGTCATGTGCTTGGAAAGTGTTATCAACAGACCTTGGTAAGTTTCTATTAGTTTCTATAAGTGCATATTGTAGATGTTCAATAGCAGAAGTGTGTACTGTCAATGGTGGAGGGAGTGGATGTCATGCCAATCGAGTGGGCGGCTTTGTCCTGGTTGCTGACAAGATTCTTGAGTGCTGTTGGAGCTGCACCAATCTGGGCAAGTGCAGCTCAGACTGCTGTTTAATTGGTCCATCCTGTACAGGCTCAGGCCGCTGTGTGACAGGCCCATCCTGTACAGGCTCAGGCCTCTGTGTGACTGGCCCACCTTGTACAGGCTCAGGCTCCTGTGTGACAGGCCCATCCTGTACAGGCCCATCTTATACAGGCTCTGGCCCCGTGACAGGCCCATCTTGTACAGGCTCTGGCTCCTGTGTGACAGGCCCATCCTGTACAGGCCCATCTTATACAGGCTCTTGCTCCTGTGTGACAGGCCCATCCTGTACAGGCCCATCCTGTACAGGCTCAGGCCCCTGTGTGACAGGCCCATCCTGTACAGGCCCATCTTATACAGGCTCAGGCCCTGTGTGACAGGCCCATCCTGTACAGGCTCAGGCCCCTGTGTGACAGGCCCATCTTGTACAGGCTCTGGCTCCTGTGTGACAGGCCCATCCTGTACAGGCTCAGGTCCCTGTGTGACAGACACATCTTGTACAGGCTCAGGCTCCTGTTTGACAGGCTCAGGCCCCTGTGTGACAGGCCTATCCTGTACAGGCCCATCTTGTACAAGCTCAGGCCCCTGTGTGACAGGTCCATTCTTGTATAGGCTCAGGTCCCTGTGTGACAGGTCCATTCTTGTACAGGCTCAGGCCCCTGTGTGACAGGCCCATCTTGTATAGGCTCAGGTCCCTGTGTGACAGGCCCATCTTGTACAGGCTCAGGCCCCTGTGTGACAGGCCCATCTTGTACAGGCTCAGGCTGTTACACTCAAGTTTTTCTCACCTTCATAATTGGGATCTTGCTCATCACTCTCTTCTGGGCTTTCAAGGGGTTCAAGAAAGGAAGCTGGCAGCCAGCCACGTTTACCTTCCATTTGGCAAAACCACCAACCTACATCAAAATAGAAGAGTTGCTGCTTCAGGAATTAGAAGCAAATTGCACAGTAATTACATAATTACAGAATTAATAGACTGAAATTGCTTTTCAGAAACGTTTTGGAAATTCCTAAAGCATCCAAATGCCTTATGAAATTCTGAAACCCATTAACAGTGAATATATAATCCAGAGTAAAGTGGTGATCAAGGTAAATTCTAAATAAAGTCTTTGTCAATCTAGTGCGTTGCTGACCTACCTGGTGTAATATATGTGTTTGACGTACAGGGAAGAGTCTACACTGTGTGATGAAGTACATTGTGATGAAGGTTTATAACAGGTTTTATGAATTGGGAACTTGAGTTTTGAAGTAGAAACAAATGGGCTGTTGGCTTACAGTTCTGTGAAGGTGAGCTGTTATTTTATAAGAGTCAGAAGTTTATTTTTTTTTCACAGTCAGTCAAAACAGCATTTCCAAGAAATCATAACTTAATCTAAATGACTAGATAAACTAGCTGATAAGGTCATTATGAAGTGTTTAAGTTGAGCTTTTACGACCCACAATAAGAAAGGCCAGAGGTCAGAAGCAAGTTCTGAAGAAAAAAAATCCATGCTACCAGTTCCCCTCTAAGCCACTCACCATCCTGACTTGGAAATATATCACCATTCCCTCAGTGACACTGGGTCAAAATCTTGGAATTGCCTCCCTAAGGGCATTGTGAGTAAACCCACAGCACATGGACTGCAGCAGTTCAAGAAGGCAGCTCACCACCTTCTCAAGGGGCAACTAAGGTTGGACAACAAAGGCTGGCTCAGCTAGAGACACTCACATGCCCTGAATAAATAAAAAAATTCCAAGTGTCTATTTGTCCCACCCTTTATAATAGATTCTAGCATTTTCCCCAGTACTGATGTAAGGCCAACAGTCTGTAGTTCCCTATTTTCTCTCTCACCAGCAATGTCTACATCCTATGAATGAATTTTTAAAAGATGTATTACTTAGCAGACTTAATGTTGCCAATGTCAGAGAAAGATCAATGAGTTACTCCGTATCTGTGTGTCTCCGAAAGAGACACAGTGAATCACATTTGGTGAATGCACAGATTGTCACAGAATGGAAATGTTTGCAACCTCATCAGTCAATTAAGAAATTAAAGACCTCTTATAGCTTAGTGGTAGTGCCCTATTCCTGGACAAGAGCCCCAGGTTCAAGTCCCATCTGCTACAGAGGCATGTAATAATATCACTGAATGGATTGATGAGAAAAATAGGTTTTAAAAAAAATTAAAGATTGAAATAAAAGTGATAATTCACCAGGGTTGAGCGTCTGTAAATGATATTGCTGGGAAAAGGTTGAATCTTTTCTCATATACAAGATCTTTTTAATCTGTCTTATATATACTTTTTCATGTGTAATAAACTTATGCCCTTTTGTTAACTCTTTGCAGTGGAGAGGAAAGGGTATGAGTGCACTGTAGTTCAAACTGGCATGTAGCTCCATTCTTGGCTATCAGCTTTTAATTGTGGCTGCAAGGTCCATTGTTTTATTGTAAAAGATGCTGATTACTCCTAGGGATTACTAATTCTGCTGCTGAGGCTCCACAAATCCTCCAGTCCTAGGGAGTAAACAGGTCCACCCTGCTTCATTGATTCTGTATCTAATTGACAGGGCAGTGAGATGGGGATTAGCAATGCCCCAGCAACGACCATCCTAATACCCATGCACTGGGCCTGTTACCATTGCAGACCCCAGGCTCTGCTCTGCCTTTTCAGGAGAAAGACACCCAAATCCCAGAGCAAGATGGAGCCATGGTCAAAGAGGTCTCCGTCCCTCTTTGTCCTGACCTTTGAACTCAGGAAATGGCTATTCCCAGTGAGGAATAGGCATGAAACTCAGCTCCTGTAACAGTGAGGTAAAAGTAAATAGAGCCAGTTTTCTGCAAAGTTATGACAGAGTTGGTTATAGCTTTGCATTTCCCAGATGAAGCAGACCTTCTTACCATTTTCGCTTTTCTCCACAATCTCGACAGTATCCCCTGTCTGAACAGTCATTTCGTATTTGGAATTCTTCTTATAGTCCGCGATTGCACGATAGGTTTGGAGTAAAATTGGACCTGTGATTGCTGGAATGAGAGAATCCTGTTAACACGGTGGATTAAAACAAACCATTGATAATGAAATGATTCATCAATTTTGCAAATATAATGCACTCCTACTTCTCACAAGTGGAGCAAAATATGTAATTTTCCATCATCTTATCCCTACATGCATTTCCTCTCAACGTTGTCTCTTCCTACATTCACCTTTACATGGTGAATGTGTATGTAAACACATCACACTGTAAAGCCTCCCACCAGTGGTGGTGATCTACAACCACTTATGTATCATCAGGGACACTCTGAGCTCCAACTAGCTCCACTCCTCTGCTTTCCAATCTGTCTTGACTATTGCTACTTGACTGCGAACATAGAATATTAGAATAATAGAATAATAGAATATTTCAAACAGGAAAACCTGGATGTAGCGGATAGAAGCTGACTGTTTCTAGAAGGAAGTGTGTGTGCAGAATAAGGAACCATTGCAATATTGTATGGAAGGGATGCACAGCATTGGTGGCAGGATGACTACTGCATCTTCTTCCATAATCCTTTCAGGCAGTGCTTTTCAGATCATCGCAACTGAGTCTATAAAAAGTGAAGGTGTAGTCGCCACAGTCCAACCGAACTATAGGGCTGTTCTGTCATTAGAGAGAGATGACTGTTGCTGGTTTAACTTAATGGTCACCAGCCTCTAGTGAGGGGAGAGGTTGAGAAGGAGTCATTCATGGTAACCTCAGGCTGTGCGGGAATTGAACCCATGCCAAAGACTTGGACAAGCTAGGCGAGTGGCAGAAGGAGTACAATGTGGCAAAGTGTGAAGTTATACATTTTGATAGGAGTAATAGAAGCATAGAAACAAGGAAAGGCTTTGGAAATCTGAAGTGCAAAGGGACTTGGGAGTCCTAATTCAGGATTCTCTCAGGGCATGCAGATTCAGCTGGCAGTTAGGAAGGCAAACGCAATGTTAGCCTTCATTTCAAGAGAACCAGAAAAGAAGAGCTGAGATGTACTGCTGAGGCTGTACATATATTATATATATATCTGGTCAGACCGCATTTGGAATATTGTGAGCAGTTTTGGGCTCCGTACCTAAGAAAAGATGCATAGGTATTGGAGGAAGTCCAGAGGAATTTAATGATTTCAGGATGAACAGCTTGTCATATGAGGAACTGTGCAGGTCTCTGGGTCTGTACATGATGGTGTTTAGAAGGATGGGGGGGAAATGATTGAAACTTGCAGAATACTTAGAGGCCTGGATGGAGTGGACATGGAGAAGATGTTTCCACTAGTAGAAGAGAATAGGACTCAAGGGCACAGTCTCAGAGTGAAGATATGACCCTTCAGAACTGGATTAGAAGAAATTTCTTCAGCCAGAGGGTGGTGACTCTGTGGAAATCATTGCCGCAGAGGGCTGTGAAGGCCAAGTCATTGTGTGCATTTAAGACAGAGATAAATTAATTAGTAAGGTGATTAAGGTTTATGTGGAGGAGGCTAGAGAATGGGGTTAAGAAACATATCAGCCATGATCAAATGGTGGAGCAGACTTGATGGGCCAAATGGTCTAATTCTGTTCCTATAAGTTATGGTCTTATAGTCTTAAGCTGGCATCAATCTGCATTGCAAATCATCCATCCAGCTAACCGACCCAAATATAAAAAGTATTATTTCTCATTTCCACTTTGAATTTATTTCCAATGAGCTAAAAACTGCATCCTCTGGTTACTGATACTGTTGCCAGTAGAAACAGTTTTTGCTTATTGATACAATCCAAATCCCTCATCATTTTCAGTGCTTTGAATAAATCTCCCCTCAACTTTCTCTGTTCTAGAGAAGATTACAGTTTCTCCAATATCCCCAAATAATGGAAGTCCCTGAGGCCTTGTACCATTCGAATAAATCTCTGATGCAGAGAGAACAAAAAAAACTGCAGATGCTGGAATCCAAAGTAGACAAACAGGAGGCTGGAAGAACACAGCAAGCCAGGCAGCATCTGGAGGAAAGGAGTAGTCAACGTTTCGGGTATAACCCTTCTTCAGGACTCGAGACTCAAGACACTTCCTGAAGAAGGGTAATACCTGAAACGTTGACTGCTCCTTTCTCCAGATGCTGCCTGGCCTGCTGTGTTCTTCCAACCTCCTGTTTGTCAGTCTCTGATGCACCCTCTTCCAGGCCTGTGTTAATTGTAAACAATTGAATTGGATACTGAGCTGAACAAAAAGAATTGAGAATAAGGTTTGTAACTGCAGTTAGAATGTATTATGTATTATTCCCGTACTAGTACCAGCTGGTTGGGCTGAAAGGCAATGAATATTGTAGACATTACAATATTGTGAATTAGTCAGCATTGTAAATAATGTAAGATCATTTAGAATAAGGAAAAAATGTAGAACTCCAAAAAGGGCACTGAATCTGTGGAATTATATCTCTCCTCCCTCACCCTCTAACTCAGTCCAATGATCATCTCACCACCAATGTTAGGAACCTAAGACTTCGAGGCAGGAGTAGGCCATTTGGCCTTTTCAGCCTGCGTTGTCACTTAATAAGTTATGGCTGATCTGGTTCTGCTATCAACTCTACTTTCTGATTTGTCATTCGCTGACTCCTGCCCGCTGCCCCAATTATCCTGACTCCCCTATCAAATATCTACCCAAGAAAATGATTGTCTAATATGCGGCTTGAAACCACAATCATAATTAGAGTGGCATTATCTACCAACTCAGACTCCCTGATGATCAGAGTATGAACTCTTACTTGCTACTGTCGATTATTCTTTGACTGTGAGGTACATTAACTGAGCGTGAGAAGGTGATTGGTGTGGAGTCACTGTAGGGCTGGAAATGTGATTGTGACATTCCAAATCCTGCAGACTGCCTGTTCTGACTCTGGGATATGTGCAGCAATTATTCTCTCAGCAAGAAGCAAAAGTTACAAAATTCCTAAGCCAATCGAAGTCCTCTAGTCCACCTTGTTAAATGTGCTGCAGAGAATGGAAGCTTGTCTCCATCCAAACACCTTGCTTGGTCTGGGAGCATTTATTGCACAAGAAACATATTTTGCATTGGAATCAGCTCCTGAATTGAGAGAAGAAAGAAATTTGACTAAACCTCAGTGAATGTTAACTCCAGTTACCAGTCAAATTATGGACCAAGTAAGATCACACAGCTGATGATTGGAGGATTCAACAGCACTGAGGCATAATGGTGCATAGCGAAGCCCAGGTAGGTGGGAGACAAATAAAGATAATTATAGGCCCATTTGCTTAACATCTGTCATTGGGAAAATGCCACAGTCTATCATAAAGGGTTTATATTATGTTATTATATCATATCATATCAATAAGGGGTTGCCTGTATATGACAGAAATGAGGTGGAATTTCTTCTCTCAGAGTGGAGTGAATCTGTGGAATTCTTTATCACAGAGGGCTATTAAGGCTATTTTCAAAGCTGAGACAGACAGATGTTAATCATGAAGAGAATCGAAGGTAATGGGGAAAAAGCAGGAAAGGGCAGTTGAGGATTATCAGATCAGCCATGATCTGATTGAACGGTGGAGTAGACCCAATGGGCTGAATGCCTCCTTCTGCTCCTATACTGTACGGTCTTACACTTGTCACTATCATTCCTTCTTCTGTGAAATCAGATGAGGAGTACTCATTAAGAACATCCTCAGTCTTCCTGATTCACACACATTCCCTGTGCTGTTTCTAATCAGCTTGACTCTTTCCTTTGATATCCTCTTATACTTTATGTATTTATAAAATATCTTTGAATTGCCTTGGTTTTACTCACCAATTTCTTTACATGCCTTTTCTTTTCTTTCTTAATTTCCTGTGTAATTTTACCCCTGTACTTTTAATACTCTGCCAGGCTTTCTGCAGAACTGATCTTTTGGTTTCTTGTAAGATATATTTTCTCTTTTTACAATGCGGTATCTGGTTTACATTAAATTTGTTGTTGTCCTTTCTTTATTTTCCAAGGTATTATTAAATGTCAAGTTTGTAGTTCAAAACTTTTGATTCAACTGCAACCACAGTGTCAGACCAAACTAATCAGAACTAGTCAACTTCTCAAAAGAAAGAGACTTACCGGACATGTTTGTCTTTGTTTTATCTTTTGTCAACAAATAGGTTTCTGTCTTTTTTGTCCTGTAAATAGCAAGCATGATGCATGAATCAATATACTGGTAATGCTATGAAAAAAGGAAATGGCAGACATTTAGTTGAATAATTACTGTGCATCAGTTTATCTGGCAGAACAACAAATTAATATTGAATCTGGGGACCAAAATTAACGAAGGTCAAAGAGCAATAATGAAGGAAATAATGGTACTGAAGAGAGAGAAATCCCTAGGAGTAGACAGTTTTCCTCTTAGACTTTTGAAAACAGATGAAAGTATTATTAATGCCCCAACTGAAATCTCCCTCAATTTTGAAACTGTTCCTTCAGATGGACTCATTCAATTCCCTACTTAAAGAAGGTGAAGGAGAAAATTAGAGAATTATAACACCTTTTGGTCAAGAAATCAGTAGAACCTGTAATGAGGAATTGAGTGACCGGACACCTTGAAAGTGTTCAGTTGATTAAAGAGAGCCAACGTGGATTTGTACAGAGTAGATGTACGCTGGCGAACCCAAGTGAATTCCTTGAAGACGTGACTAAAGTTAAGGATGGGAGCACGTCTATATATGTTACTTTTGTTCATTTCCAGAAGGTATTTGGTAAAGTGCCTCACAAGAAACTGTTCGCTAAGTTTGAAGCTTATGTCCAAGTCCAGTGACAACACGAAGGGCATAGATGGCATTATGAGTAGCTTAAAAATTACCAAAGAGTTATTAACAGGCAAGGAACATAATTGTAGCACAGCAACAAAAACTATAGGAAATTCGCAGCAGATCTAGCAGCATCTGTGGAGCAAAGAACAGAGACAACGTTTCAGATCAAGGATTGTTCATCAGAAAGCACTCAACTGGCTCTCATGAAAAGTCTTTGGCCTGGAACGTTTTAACTTGGATTCTCTCCACAGGAAATGTCAGGCTGTTGACATCTGACATTTTCTGTTTTCATTTCATATTTCCACAGTGTTTTGCTTCTGTTTTAAACAAAACCAACAAATTAATTTCAATATAGAAAACTGTGACTTCACCCATACTAGGTAGGTAGGTAGGTAGGTAGGGTAAAACAGAATACTTCCTAAATGGTGGGAAGCTCCTAACAGTGGTTGCCTGAAGACATTCTAGTATCGATGCATGTAGGTTGTTGGTATGGAATAGACAGCAATGAACAATGGAATACTCACCTTCATATCTAAAGATAGAAGTGACTGTACTTAGAAAGCTTAGTTAGATCACATCTGAAGTAGGAATTTAGGAAAGCAAATGGCATTTTAGTCTCTATGATAAGGATTTTAGAGTATACAAGCAAAGATTTCTGACTTCCATTCTATATGGCCTTAATGAGAACACACTTCAAGAACCTTGTAAAGCAGGGTTGTCCAATGTTTCACACAGGGGGCTAATTTTTCAATTTTCTTTCACTCGGTGGAGGGGAAGTGAGAACATTTCAAAAAGATAATGTTTGACACAACAATAAACATGAATTTTGGGAAAATAATTCCGAATAATAAGTCAATAATTTGAACAAGCAATAATTAATAAGAATAGTTATTTAAAAGTGTTAAGCAGCAGAGCTAATGAATCAAACACTTTTTTTAGACAGTTTGGTTTAGAAGCAGAGATAGAGGGAGACAGATTAGGCCCCCATGTCCTGATCACCAGAGAATGAGGTGGGGATTGGGGCTGAGCTAGGGAGCTGGGTTTAACTATCACTGATGTTGTGTTCATTTCTGGTGGTGCGCATTTTGAGATGGCCTCAGGTAAATGCATTTGAAAGTGTGGATCAGTCAAGGGCTGCCTTTCAGCGTGGGTGTTTCTCCTCCCCAGCCTACCTTGTGGATAGGTTTTTGGAAATGAAGCAGGTGGGTATGACCAGTATCATAATAATAATATCACTGGGCTAGTAATCCAGTAATCCCAGGCTAATGTTCTGGGGACATAGGTTCAAATCCAACTATGGAAGATGGTGATATTTGAATTCAATAAAAAAAAAAAACTTGTCTAACAGTCATAGTTTCATTGATCCTGGCTTCTCCATTCGGAAATTTTCCTAATGGTGTCAGGATCAGATCAGACATCAACCTGAAGTTTCACCTCAGTTTTATTGCTCCACCCACTTACGTTCAACTTCCATCCTGCCCTCAGGTGCCAGTATAATCCTAGCATCAGAATCTGCAAAACATTCCCTATGTCACAATCAGAAAACAGGTCGATGAAACTATGATTGTTAAAGTTGTTTGATTGTTCTGTATAATTTAATTTCTACAATAAATTTAAATTTGTATCTTAGCCTGATCATTATCATATCATTGTACTATTATCCTCTGGTTTCAAAGGATAATGAGTATAGGACAAGAACCTCAACTAAAGCCAGTGCATCTGCAATTAGTAAGAGGATATATTGATTGAAATCAATGGGAAAGAGAAATGTAAAAATTGCTGGCAATTTTCTTTCACTTAATTTAAATTATCATAGAGTTAAAATTACCCTTAGAAAGTACAGAAGGTGTAGATTTACGGTAGAGACAATATAACTCCGATTACATAGAGGGTAAAGTGTATAACGGATTCCTGATATATTATCATAAATATATCAGCCGTTGAAATTGAATTTCACACCCGTATAACCTGGAGCATTCATCATCATGTTAGCTGATTCATCATTGATTTGGGCTGACAATAGAAGTGGTCCATACTCACGGGTGTGGAACTGGTAGGACCACATCATCGGGGCGGACCTGAAAGAAGTTCAGAATCCACTGGCAGCGGGAGATCTTTGGCGGTTGGTTGACCAAGGATTGGATGTAATCAGAAAGGGTACTTTGCCTGTTCTCTGTGGCCTTGTGACCCTCCAACCATTTGGGAGCTGTGAAGAACACAATGCTTGTGTCATTGTCCAACAGAAGAGCTGACTGTCACTGAAGAGATCACTGTTTTACTGCAGGGACCACAGCAGCCACTTTGCACACAGCAAGCTCTCGCAAATAGCAAATTGATCATTCAGTATGCCAACAGCACATCCACATTAGTTCTGTACATACTGCATATAAATTCGAAGATTGGTCCTGGAGAGAAGAGGAGTTTGCAGGGAGCTAGGGGATAGGGATTATTGTAGGTGGTGGCTGGTTGTAAAGTATTGGTACCTTGAATATTGGCTGGGAAATCAAGGAAAACTCTAGACATGTTACTTGGAAGAGTACAGTTATGGTTTAATAGTAGGAGTTCTGTGAATACAGAGAGGTAGATATGGCAATGACAGTATCAGGATGAGGGGCACTAGCTGACTGATGCGGCTGGAGCAGCTAGTCAGGTTTCTAAGGTTTGGGTAGGAGATGCATCCACTTGTGTGGTCATTGAATGTTTTCCAGTACAACGGCCAGTGTCCTTGGGGCCAGACCCTTTATCTCTGGCCACCTTTGGCCATTACTTCCACGGGGTGTATCATGAGGGCCTCCTCTAGATTCCTCTCCCTCCTTCCCTTCTATCATTAACATCTCCAGCAGCACATTTGAAAATACAAGGGCGATCTCTCTTTGGCCTCAGTGCCCCTTTTGATATCCTCTTCCTCCAAGTGAAGATTCCAGAGACCCTCTGCAGCAACTTCTGTCAATTGAGTCCATTGCTTTCAGAGGGATAGGCTACCTTTAAGAGCTGCAGGCTGGCTGGGCATTGTGCTAGTCACACACACCAATAGGCCCCCTGTTCAGCAGGACATTGATGAGCAGTGTGTTTCACATTCTGCTTCCTCGATAAGATTTGGGTTTGTTGGTATAAAGCAAGATCTGTATCAACATAAACATTCACATTCACTGCTCTCATGTAATGAGGCAAATCAATGAAAATGTTCCTTCTCCTTCATATTAAAGACAATTTAACAATGACCCTAATCTGCGAAGAGTCCACACAGGGATTATGATCTACAAAATTCCTCTCCCTGCACCCTACCCTTAAACAGAGAAAATGTCTGAAACAATTGCTTTCACAGTAAACTACATCTTACAAGCCTAATGAAGACCTACCTGGTAAATGGGGGAGAGTTCTGTTTTTGGAATCAATTTCTCCAGCTTCAATAGGAAACAGCTCCTTCAGCATTTTCTAATGAGAGGGAGATAAATCTAAACATGAAATTGTTAAATAGAAAACATTAATTTGCCTTTAACAGACACAAAGTTCATCCTGGAGGGAAAGGTAAGAAAATAGATTCTGACACAAGGAGATTTGAGAAGACGCCACGGCGGCACAGTGGTTAGCACTGCTGCCTCACAGCACCAGGGACCTAGGTTCAATTCCACCCTCAAATGAATGTCTGTGTGGAGTTTGCACATTCTCCCTGCGTCTGCGTGGGTACCCTCTGGGTGCTCTAGTTTCCTCCCATAGTCCACAGATGCATAGGCTGGGTGGATTGGCCATGCTAAATTGCCTGTAGTGATTAGGGGGATGGGTCTGGGTGAGATGATCTGAGGGTTGGTGTGGACTTGTTGAGCCAAAGGGCCTGTTTCCACACTGTAGGGATCCTATGAAGACATATGTACCCACTCAAAGGATTGAGTACAAGAAAGCACAAATTTAAAGTTAATTTGCAAAAGAAGCAGAGGTGAGGGAAAAAAATAACTTTTGTACACAGTGAGTGTTTAGGATCTGGAATGCACTCCCTAGAAATGTGATGGTGGCATTCAAGAGGGCACCAGATGGTTATTTAAATAGAAACAATATTCAGGGTTAAGAAGAAGAGGCAGAAGAATAACAGTAAGTCATAATGCTTATTCAAAGAGAAAGGTGCTGACATATGGGCCAAATGATCTCCTTCTGAACTATGTCAATTCTGAGATCTGGAAGGAATGGTATGGAGAGACTGAGTAGTTTGGGAGAGGGAGCAGTTAAAGATGGGGTGGAATAGGTGACCAGAAGCACTGGCTAAATGGGGAAGGGGTTAAGCAAGGATCTGTACATTAAGTTGGTTTGGTGCAGTGACAGCGTTAATCTGAGTCAGATCCTGACAAACAGCAACATCAACCCAGCTACCTCCCACCGATCACTCTAAATGGCAACATCAACCCAGCTACCTCCCACCAATCACTCCAAACAGCAACAACAACTCAGTCATCTCCCACGGATCATTCCAATTGGCAACAGCTCTGCTGTCTTTCCCTTCCTTATTCAATAAGTGCCTCAAAGATGAAGAAATGGAGCCAGGGAGTTTTATAGAAAAAAATTTTTGGGCAAAGTCCATAACAACAAGGAGAAATGAACAGAAGCTAACTCCAATGCCTATTAATGAATACTGGTTGACTCAAACTGAAAAATCCTATTCCCAAAAGGGTAAGCGAGACACGGATGTACCTAACAAGGATAGATCGAGCTGCTCCCACAGCCCTTGCATGATCATTCTACTGGAGTTATAAACGACTCTCAGGAGCACACTCCAAATTGTTCACAGCTTGTATGGACATTAAAATTCAGCTGCTCTTCGAGTTACACCCCACTTGGCCTCCAGGTTGAGGTTAGCTGTGATTCAATAGAATAAAAGAACATAAGAACTAGGAGCAGGAGTAGGCAATTCAGCCCTTTGGGCCTGCTCCACCATTTAATACGATCATGGTTCATCTCTTCTTGGCTTCAACTCCACTGTCCTGACTGCTCTCCATAACTCTTCAAGCCTTTACTAATTAAAAATCTGTCTATCTCCTCTTTAAATTTATTCCAGTGAATTCCTCAGATTCACGATCCTTTGAGGGAAGTAATTACTCCTTGCCTCTGATCTAAATTTGCTACCCCTTATCTGAAAACTGTAACCTCATTCCAGATTGTCCCAGGGAGGGAGAGAGCGAGAGAGAGAGAGCGAGAGAGAGAGAGAGTGAGTGTGGGAAGGGGGAGCAGCAGCTGAACATGTTCACTCCTTTGGTGTTAAGCTCCTGTTAACTCCATCAGCACCTATGGCCCTCTGTGACTTGTCGTGCGTGGATAATCTGTATCCACTTTGTACAATAACCCCATTATTATACATTTGTCCCACTGAAACCTGCAATCTCTGTTGGATCTGTTACACCAACTATCACTGCTGTACATCCTGTCTATAGCACCCACTGCTGGTAGTGACAGGAGGTGCAACTCCCCCTAAAGGCACTGACAGCCAAATTGAATGAAATATGCCAAAGTAAAGAGTGCCAGCCCCTTCAAGGAGCACTGTAATAAAATCAAATTAAGGTGTCATTTTGATGATTGATCTGCACAAATCTTTAGATTGATGAATGAGGGTGGGGTTGTATGATCGATCAGGGGCTGCTTTGTCTTGGATGATGTCGGTCTTCTCAAGTGTTGTTGGAGCTGCACCCATCCAGGCAAGTGGGGGGTATTCCATTACACTCCTGACTAGTGCCTTGTAAATAGTGGATGTGCTTGGGGAGTCAGGAGGTGAGTTACTCACCGCAGGATTCCTAGCCTCTGACTTGCTCTTATAGTCACAGTACTTATATAGCGAGTCCAGTTCAATTCCTCGTCAGTGGTAACTCCCCAGCTTGTTAATAGTGGGGCCTCATGTGACGATAATGCTATTGAATGTAAAGGTGGAGTTGTCATATCCTCTCTTGTTGAAGATAGTCATTGCCTGGCACTTGTGCCTTGTCAATGTTACTGGCCACTTATCAGCCTAAGCCTGGATGTTTTAACACTGGTCTGTAATTGCTGGTCTTATCCTTACAGGCTTTTTGGAGAAAGGTCTGTTCAGTGTCAGACAATCAGCCCCTTGATGCAGAACTTGTTACACAGAGAGGAAACACAGCTACCACCTTTGCCTGACTCAGCCCCTAAAACATGTATGGAATCACATCAAGCTGATGGTTTAAAGGCTATGTTCCCAAGCACCTCGCTGTGTGGCTGTGAAATATTGATGAATTGCAACTATCAAGAAAAGGAGTTCACTAACTTCCGTCTTCACTGGCCATGGTACATTGTGGGTATATCCTGTCAGGACAACATTGGGAACAGGGCAGTTGTCCCAAAGGCAGAGCTGACATGGTTGTTAGCAGTCATTCCACAGAGGCAGCTTGGTTAGGTCACAGGATGGACAACCATCCCATACTCAAGGATTGTCTGTCTGAAAAGTTGGCTGGATGCAGACACCCAAAGTCCCACTTAAGGACGTTGGCAAACCTGAAATGAAGGCCCCAAACACTGACCATCACAATCAGGAGTCACTAGATAATGACAGATGAAAATGGCAACATCTCTGGCATGGCTGGCAGAAGCCACCAGGACGACCACTGCCTACAGCAGTTGTCAGAAATGATCCACGACACTTCATGTGTGGCAACTGTGACAGATCCAGTCTCTGGAGGATTGGCTTCTTCTGCCATTGGAAAAAGGTGCAGATTATGAAGATGCTCCATTGAAAGGGATATATTGCTGTGTGTCCATCATCTTCCACAGGTGGAAGGACATTGACAGGGACATTGCTCCTTAGTGCTAATTAAAAAGCTCCCACCCTTGACTCCTTCCAGATCCTTTCTCTCCACCATTGTAATATTGTCTTTAATTGATATTTCTTTTCTTTTGATCCTTTCTTTCCTTGTATCAGGAATATTTAGTACCTACGCCTCCATTACTGCTGCAGTACTGTATTCCCATGTGGCTATCTTCACGTGCAATCCACCAAATTCTAGCCTGCACACCCCTGGACACTACAAGGCAATTTACCATCGCTGATCCAGCTTTGGACTGTGGAAGGAAATTGGAGCACCCAGAGTAAACCCATGCAGACATGAGGAGAATGTGCAAACTCCACACAGTCACCCAAGGCTGGAATCGAATCCAGATTTCTGGCGCTGTGAAGCTGCAGTGCTAACCACTGTGTCGCCAATTTTTTTGAGAATCATAGAATCCCAGTGCAAAAACAGGCCATTCAGCCTAATGATTCTGTACTGACCCTCCAAAGAGCATCCCACCCAGACCCAATCCCCAAATTCTGTTTAATGCAGTTTGTATTCACACAGTAAGCATCATGTAGACCTGATTGTATACTCTTGTTGTTTGACCCCAGCTAATACATTAGTTATTTCCTACTTAATCACTCTCTCTCACTCCCCTTTCCCGACCACTGTGCACTTTGTTTTTCCCTCAAGTATTAACTTCTGGTTCCCACTTCCCTGCCAAGTTAGTTTAAGCCCTCCCCAAAATTGCCCTCCACTCCCAACATTTCTGATTGATAATAACCTGCCCTCAAAATCTAATTTAAACTGGTCTAAGTACATCAGCATATCAGTGTCACATGGCAAAGTGACAAACTGGGAATAACTGGGATGAAGAAGGTAAACTCAGCTTGCCTTCTCAGATCAAGAAAAACATTCTAAAAATGTTTGAGGACTTCTTTTGAAAATTTAACACTGAAAAAGCTCACTTTGAAAAAGTCTATTTGTTTAAACACTGCAGCCAAAATGCAACAGATGTTCTAACTTTCTGTTTTATTACATCAAGTACTCCTACTGAAAGGTAAAATTAGACCACATTAGATCACTCAGTCACAAGTGGATCCATTTACTCCCACTGTAAATGCCAATAAATGATTCATTCGCTTAAATCCTATAGAGTACCATTCTCGAATGCCCTATGATGATAAACCACTTCAATCTTCACAGCGCAAACAGGACAATGGTGCAGAGATAGTAGGAACTGCCAATGCTGGAGAATCTGAGATAACAAGGTGTAGAGCTGGATGAACACAGCAGGCCAAGCAGCATCAGAGGAGCAGGAAAGCTGACGTTTAGG